GAGGGGTCAGGGGAGCAGTCTGTTGGCAGCAGCCCTCGGGAGGGGGCCTTGGGAAGAGCCGCGAGCGCCGAGCAGCCCCGCCCCTCACCTGGGCCGTCTGCAGGTACTGCAGCATGAAGTACCAGAGCTGGGGCAGGGGTGTCCAGCAACAGGAACTGGAAGCCAGCAGAGGTGATGCAGGGCGGCTCTCCAGGCTCAGCACTGGGGGCGGGGAGAGGGATGGGAGAGACGTGCAGAGAAAGGCCACAATCCCCACTGGTCCTCTCACGTCTTCTGGTTTATCTCTGGCCGCACTCCATTCAACTCTCCTTTTTCAGTCAAGCCCCTCCACTCCTGACCTCCCAGACACTCCGTTTAGCAGGCAAAGGCAGGCGAAGCAGGGCACAGTCGTGCCTTTGGCTTCCTCACCTCTTCATAAGCCCCGCCTGGCTGAGGAGCTGAGCCAAGTCCTGGCTGACGGCTGCACTGGGGGAGCCCACCATGAAGTGCAGGACCACCTGAGGGAGGGGAGAGAGCAGATGCCTCTAGGGCCCACGGGAAGGAGCACAAGCAGAGACACACAGAGTCCCAAGGCCTCACCTCCCATCGCTCCTCGGCGTACTTATCCAGTGAGGGGACATCCCGGGCATGCTTGTCTGGTCCCAGCTGACTTGTGTCATCAGACCAGGCCTTGCCCCTATGCCCGGATAGGCCAAGAGTAAGGAGCCCTGCCTGTGTCCCATGCCCACCCTCTGCCCTCCTTCCACCCTCGTCCCCAGGGGCCATGAGTGGGAGGTCTTCCCCACGCTGTGCAGCCACATCCGGTCCGACTCATTCCTAAAGGGACTCCCGAAGGAGGCCCTCAGGTCCGGAGGCCCTGGCCCGGCTCAGGAAGATCAGGAAGGACATACCCACCCAGAAGCGCAGTGCGGAGGTTCTGGCGGAAGACGGGGTTGAGGATGAGGCCCTGGAGACCACCAGGAAGCAGCTGCGTGTGCCAGATCCGGAGGCCGCTCAGCAGCCCTGTACTTTCCTCCTGAGCTCTGACACAGAAACAGAGAGTGAGGGGGTGTCTGGAGAACAAAAAAAGGAGGCCCAGAATGGCCTCCATTCCTACCTTTTCTGAACTGGTGATCCTTGGGTCACTGTTTCTGGGTGAATCAGTGTCTTCTTAAGGCAAATTTCTGTACTGCAGCACTTACCAGAGCCTCGTTACAGACACCACAACTCTCCCCGAGGGAAATACAGCATGCTGAGTTTCCCAGACTCATTTAGTTACAAGTTTTGTGCTGTACCCATTACTATTCCTGAAAATGTTCCCGGGAACAGCAGTTTGGGGAAATCTAGCTGTTGAGAATGCAGCAGACTCACTTGCTGAATTCCTTCTTCACCCATAGGGCCACAGCAGCTTGTGGCAAAGGCTGCTCCAGAAAGAGCATCCGCATCACCCAGTTCTTAGCCAACGACGGGAGCTCCCTGCAGGGGGCAGAGACAAAATGTTATTGTCAGCAACTGCTCTCCACCTGCACCTCAGCCTCTCACCCCCACAGCCTTACCCGTCTCGCCGTCCCACAAACACCATCTGTTTTGACCTGATACACTTTAATCTCCAAGCCCCTTAAAATTATGCTCCTACCCATGATGACTTACCCCAGTCTGCAGGCCCATTACATTTCCCACCATGGTGCCTGTCAGGAAGGGCATCCTCACCTGAAGACAGCCAGACAGGTGGCAGGGTGCCCGTAGAGTCGGTCCAGTACCCCAGGGCTCAGGCCCCCAAGGAACT